ACAGCACATTAGAAAATTCATCTCTATTTTCTAATAAGCATACTAATGGTATCCTAGTGCCTTGAAACTGGATTCTCCTCTGAATATGAAATACCTTGAATACATATGAACTTCATGTTCAAATAGCACAATAGAATATAAGTCTGAAGAGCATCATAGAAAGTTCTTTAATTTCTTTCCCCCACCCAAATGGTTTTCTGTAAAAATTTTTTAAACTATCAAGTTCCCTACCCTACAATTATCACCACATTTTAATTTTTCTTCCTTTTTGCCCTTTCTCTTTCTGTTTTCTTCCTATAATGGGGATGGCAGGGGAGACAAGTAAAATACCCAAGCTCTTTAATTTAGGGCTCAGGCAGGAGAGAGAAGTAATTGAAATTACAAATATATAAAATTAACCTTAGTGAGTCCTTAAAACTCTTTACGTATCACCATGGAGACCAGAGCATGAACTGTCTCCATGGAAATTTGAGTGAATTTTTTTGGCTCATCACTTACTGCTGATGCTGCGAAATCACGTCAGTCGTGTCCGACTCTGTGTGACCCCATAGCAGCTCACCAGGCTCCTCCATCCCTGGGATTCTCCAGGCAAGAATACTGGAGTGGGTTGCCATTTCCTTCTCCAATGCATGAAAGTGAAAAGTGAAAGTGAAGTTGCTCAGTCACAACCAACTCTTGGAGACCCCATGAACTGTAGCCCAACAGGCTCCTCTGGCCATGGGATTCTCCAGGCAAGAGTACTGGAGTGGGTTGCCATTGCCTTCTCCCATCACTTACTACCAGATGTCAATTTGGCCAAGGAAAAAGAGATACGTATAATAAATAAATAAGAACTAGCCTCAAACTAGAGAATTAAGGGCAAATCTAGTTGTCCTGGTTCTTAGTATTCAATTATTCCGATTAGTGGGAAGATATCCCAAGAGAAAACTTCCCCTCAACTCATAATTTCCAATGGAAATATCTGATGATATAGCTCCATAAATGCTACAGGAATGAATAGAGAAAGATAATTTCTAGAAAAAAATCTTTTTCATTCAGAAGCATCAAGGTGTAATGCAAGTGATATGCCTCTCTATTCACCACTCCAACTGCAAGAAGACAAGGCTCCTATACAAAATAGTAGTGGGCCAATAATGGACCAGAAACACTTTTAGCAACCATTCTGGGTATTTCAGTTTATCATGTCTATATACACAACTGTTTTTAATGTGTAGTGAAGTCAAACAGACTTGCATTACATTCTGCATAAAGAGGAACACAGGAATCACTTAAATGTTTATTGAGAGGTACTTCAGAATTTCTCCCAGTTAGATTCTATTTTGCAAACCTATAGGCACATTTCCTTAGTTGATCAAATACTCAATTGAGAGGCCACCAAATGATTATTTTATTTTATATTTTATTTTATGCAACACCATGAAACATACAGAATCTTAATTTCCTGAGCAGGGATTAAACCTGTGGCCCCTGTTGTGGAAACATGGAGTCTTAACCACTGAACCACTATTGACGTACCCTCAAATGGTGTATTTTAGATAGTAGGTGTTCATCAATTAAATAATCACTAACATAAGGTTAAAATTCAATAAAAGTTTTTTTAAAATTCAATAAAAGCTTTAGCATACAACAAAATAAGTCAAAAGAAAGCAAACAGTGGTGACCAGAATACATAAAAACAAAATGGTCAATGACATTTATTCATCTAGAATTTTATACAATTTGAACTTTATATATAGTTTTTTTTAGGACAGATCTTGGTGAATGGATATGGAAGGAAAACAAGGATGCCAGCAGCACAGTCAGCTTAGAGAAATCCAAGTGTTTCTCAGATTTGACAGTTGATTCTCATTATTTGAGGCTGTTATGTTTTAAAAAGTCACAAACAATTAGAAAATACTGAATCATTGTTCCTAGGGGAAATACAGGATTAGGTTCCTATCAGCCTCAGGTCACATTTTCATCAACTAATCAATATGTGACCCAGTTTTATGTGTGTCCCTGTTTAAACACATCTTGTTTAATATATATTGTTGACTAACATTGAAATTACAGCCAATAGCATTGTAACTCAAGTCTGAATGAACTTTATGTAACACACATACTTTCTTCATGAGACACATCACAGTCTTCTTACACTAGACAGCACTTCAGCACTATGTTTGGGGGCCACCTGAACAATGATATCACCAACAAAAAGTACACAAATGCAAAAACATGACACTAAGTAGATGGTGAAAAGAATACTTGTTTATAGGAAGAGGAGCTAAAACAAGAAGGCAGAGTGCCTGGCATCAACTGAGACTATGTGTGTGGGATGATTCAGATTTTTTGCCTCTCAGCACATGTCCATAAATGACCATGAAAGCACTGCAAGTAATGACTGGGGTTACATATAAATTTTTGCAAGTAAAGGAATTTGCAAATACAGAATCTACAAGTAATGAGATCAACTATATTTACCAACTATAGAGAACCTCTTCTATTTCCCTCTGACACTGCTTACTATTACATTGCTCTTGTCTATTCTCTTTTGTGTACCTCTAGAACCCCTATTCTTCCTTCTAAACCTTGCTCAGAAAACCATATGCACACTAACCACCCCCTCCTATTACATTTGCCTCTTACACTCATCTCTATTTTGCACAAATCAAATTATACTGAATTTACTGACATTCTACTTTATTGGCCAATGAAATTCACTGAGGTCAGTGATCATGTCCTAATACATGTATATAATCTTTGCTGTGTTTACCATGTGCTAGGCTATCTGTCAAAAGATGCTTCACATATAATACCTTGTTTAATCTTATAATAACACTATCAACCCCATTTTACAGTTGCAGAATCAGAGGCCTAGAACAGTCATGTCACTTACCATATCACAAGCTGCAGAACTGGTATTGAAACCTAAAATCCAAGCTTTTAATCATTATATTATGCTAAATAAATATGTTACAATGTATGATTGACTCCTTAATATGCACAGGCATAGTATTAAATGCTTTATATAAATTATCTCATTGAACCACTTTATCCATCTCTGTATCTCCAACACACAGCAAAGTCTATGACACAAAAATATTTGTTAGGTTGAACTGATTTCTTCCTGCTCCCAAACCTTCTTTCTAAAACCAACATGAGAACTCTCTACAGCTCCAGCAGTGGTCAGAATGACTTTCAATGTAACATCACCCTTTTCTCCCACCAAGATCCTCGTCCTCTTTCTCATACATATTCTTCTGTGTTTTGCTACTGATGTCTGTGATGACCACAAGGAAAGTCTTCAAAGCAAAAGAAGTACAGAAGGGAGCAGAAGCACTGTCCACTTGAAAAATGTCTTTTTCTTTAACAATAACAATTTCTGGCAGTGATTTACATTATGACCTAAATCCTTATGGAGTAACAAAATCATGGAAGAGTTAAGTGTTTTGCTTGAGGCCTGTGGGGTAACCCCTCTATGAGGTTAAAGAGGATTTTTCTGCTTCTCAGTGTAGGTTTTGATTTCAAATTAACATACCCTGTCATAGTCAGTTCAAAGTAGGCAAAGAGTTGGTTTTAGGGATAAGAAGTAAAAGTAAGGGGCAGAGTTCATGGGAAAGGGAGTAGGCTATAGAAAATCTGCAAGGCAGAAACAACAGGATTCACGTACATTACATGAATGAACGGATCAAGGAGCGTTTAGCCTTGGGCTAGAGTCAAAATTATTTTCTTTCAAAGGTGAAAGTATAAAGAGAACAAGATTAAAGAGTTGGTTTTAGGGATAAGAAGTAAAAGTAAGGGGCAGAGTTCATGGGAAAGGGAGTAGGCTATAGAAAGTTTGCAAGGCAGAAACAACAGGATTCACATACATTACATGAATGAACGGATCAAGGAGCGTTTAGCCTTGGGCTAGAGTCAAAATTATTTTCTTTCAAAGGTGAAAGTATAAAGAGAACAAGATATGAAATTTCATTTCAGATCTCCCTCTTCCCCAGAATATTCCAAATAATCCAAAAACAATAATTCTCAACAATACAGCCAGGAAAATTGACCCAAAGGACAGAATTCTAAATGCTCTAAAAGGCCTCATTTTTTTCTCCCAATTATATGTGTCATGTTTTTGCTACTGGGCACTGTCATATTTAATAAACAGAAGAATCTCTTAGTGAATTCCAAGCCCAAAACATAATGCAGGGAAGTAAAAGTTTCCTGAGGTCAGGCAGGAAGTCAAAATTACCAGAGAAAGGAGTAGACTTATCTTAAAGAGTAGCCAGTGTTCAACTCCCCAGTACATTCATAGTTGCCAGAAAGAATAAAATTCTTTGCTGCCAAGGCTTTCAGCTTTTCAAAAGAAGACACAATCCTCTATTTCCATGTGAAATGTCCTGGTTTTAAATGTGGTCAATTAATTTAAGAGAAAAATGTAAACACAGTGCACGTCAAATACGTCATATAAACTGTGTTTGCTGGTTTACCCAGTCGAGGACACAGGGCATATTTTAGGGACTTCTTTCAAATCACTCATTGTGTTTCACTGCCCCCAAGAAACGGCAGTCCTGGAGGCCATCCTCTGAACAGACACCTCCTCCTCCTGTGCCTTGGTCTCCTAACAGACTTTGCCATGACTTCCTGGCCTCTGTAGATACCCTCCACCTCCACTCTCTGTGTGGGTGATCTAAGACCTCTGGCAGACAGGGTCTGGTGGCAGCTGGTCTCCGTGTGTACTAGGGAGCTGCTCTTGGAGGCCCCTCTTCTATCTCGTCTGCCCTGCCCAAACTCTCAATCCTACACTCTCCATTTCTCCTTTGAAGATCTGTTTCCCTTTCTTTTCTCTCATCTGATTTCTCTCTCGAATGATGTTTTTCTTTTTTTACCTACTCTTCTTTTCCTCTTTTCTTATTCTTTCCTATTTATTTCATGCTCTTCACCATCATCCTCTCTTACCTTTCCTCTCCAGTCCCCCGTCCCTTCCCTTCTTCTCCATCTCCCAGCACCTAGGAACCCGAAGAGAGCTCGCTCACCAGGAATACACCAATACTGGCTTCGAGTATTTCTTGTGATGGGAGCGGAGGGTTAGGGAGCCCTTGCGCTCCATTAAGTCCGTGGGTCCGAGTTCCAACCAGTATTGTCCATGGCTGCACCATTCCTGGCAGGAACTGTCGGAGCTGTCCATGGCGGCCCTCCTGACACAGACCTCGAAGGATTTCTCTCCGTATCTATCCTGCTCCCTGTGTTGACACAATCCAAGATTCGGCGTCTCTCATCTCCTAAGCAACTTGGGGCGGGGTCAATGGAAGGGCGGGGCCAATAGAGAGGCCGATCCCTCAAACTTAAGAGCCCCGGTTTCCTAGACAGTGTACGCAATTACTGATTAGGGATAAACTACACTCCCCAGAGTGCAGTGAGAGAAGGGAGCAGGCTACCTACAGCTTGGGAGGAACAACTGCATCCTGGGATATGTAGTTCCACCCTCCTAACAGCCTACCCCTTCGAGTGCACGGAGTCAAGCGCCAGCGCTGCTTCAGTTAAGGCCTAAGTGGACCTGAGCCCGAGCCGGTCTGTTCTGGCTGTCTTTGGGGAAGTTTCTCTTTACCATTCGTTATCTGTTGCCACCACACCTTCTGCTTACAACTTACATAAATTTGACTAAAAGGGAGCTAGAGAACACCCCTCAAACCATAAAGTATGTCTTTTCCATACAACTTTTCTAAGAGCCTTAGGCTTCAATAAATTCCAGAAGTTTCTTACTGTAAGAAGACATTACACAAGCTTAAAAACACAAGAGATATTTCACATTACAGATATATTCTCTAGTTCGCAAATGATTTATTATGGTATGCCTAATAGTGTTCTTCTGGATTAGATTTCACAAATTTGATACACACAACTACTAAGTGCTTTTCTGCGGCCTGCAGTGCCCAGTGTGGGCACCTGTGGTATGTTTATGCCCATATTTTACTGACAGTCACAGTTAAACCATGTTTTTTAGAACCAAATAAATAGCCCACTGTCACCTGCCCAGAATTAGTAGAGCACTGATTGCTATTTTAGCCCTTTACTTCGTGAAGGAATGAAAATTAGAAGTGTAAACAAGATCCACGCTAAGCTCAATTGTGTCCAATCAAAGCATAGCACATTGCTGTTGCTCCAAAAATACTATTATCATACTATACTAATATTATCACTATTTTTCAAGCTTTGTCTATAAGGTCTATTTAATAAGTATCTTTTTATCATATTTTAATATGAAATTTAATAGCCTGAGTCAGAAAAATGTTGGCAGATATTTTTATATATTGTTACCAATGATAATGATGGTTTTGTATTCATATGGAATCTTTTCAAGATCAGTAATAAGCTTTATTTTTTATAACTATGAAATCACTGATCTTCAACATACTTGAGTTATTCCTGTTTTCCTCAGTCTTCATCAAACCAATGACGTCTAGGGCTTAATGCAAGGCCTTCTATTACAGTAATCTCTTTTCAACATAATATCCTTGGAGTGAGAAAATTACAGCTCAGGTGGCTGAATCAGTACTTCTCTGTAAGATAAGTACAGGCAAACCAACTTGGGAAGTGGGAATCCCTTCATCTGAGCCTACTGTAGTATATTTCTTTGTTTTATCAGATCCATAAAGAAGTTGCCAAGGAGACCCGACTAGGACAGCAAATCTAAAACAGATGTAATCCAGCCAGATGTAAATAACCACAGAGGTTAACCTCCTTACCATCTCCTTTCCTTTCTGTCTTAATAGTCTGCTCAATTCTTGGAAAAGTCCCTGCTCAGGACCTTCCAAAGTCACCATCAACTTATCCTCTCCTAGCATTAAAATTCTTCTACCAAGTGTCATGCAATTGTTTGAAAGAAAAAAAATTTTAATTACATAAGAATGTTAATTTGTACTATCTTCATGATGACTCTATTTTAAATCTATTAAAAAACTTGTACTGAAATTGTATAATGCTTAAAAGTTTGAAACAGGTATTTATGTCCTAATTAAGTATTGCATAGAATTTTTTTTAGTTCTCCAGAAATGAGGACCTCCCATCACCCACCATATACATATCTAGGGGCTCTCTTTCAAATATTTTGTATAAAAAATTTAGGATCAAAATGAATGAGAAGTGTCTGGTCCTCCCTGCTCCCGCTGTCCCCCTATGTATCTCCTGTTCTCTCTCCCTTCTCTCCTTTGTTTCCTTTTCCCCCCATTTTCACTCCTTATCCCTTCCTCTTCCATCACCACTCCTTATTTTCTTTCCTTCTTCCCTCTTCTTTTTCTCTTCCCACCTTCCCTCTCTCTGTTTCCTCCTCTTCTTCTTCCTCCTCTGAGAAGTGGTATGGATTTTAGAGTCAAAAACTACTGCCGAGCCCTTACAACAATTTGGTAAATTCAGTTACGTGAAAAATATAAAAGGAAAATAGTATGACCTAGAAATCAGGGCCAAAATTTATTTGAATAAGTTCATATTTAAAGGAGTAATGCTAATGAAAGCTTCAATCTTCCTGCCTTTCCTTTAGCTATTCATAACTACCAACAGTCTTTTTAGAGGAATATAACGTTGAATATGATTCTTCAGTGCTTCTAATTTGGATTGCAAACATATCAGGCATTGACCTGCTCTCAAGACATTATTAACAAGTATTGATTAAGTCCTATCATGCAGCAGACATTATTTCTGGAACTCCTACTGTCAACATGGGGATTAGTTTATTAAATAGTCAATGTATAGTATTCTCTAATTCAGCATTTCCCTTATTTTGATATATAATCCAGCCAATAAGTGAAATTCTTCAGTAGAGTTGCTCATAGATACCATGTTAAAACTTTAATGACCTGGGTTAGTAATGACATACTCTAACATAAATGTAGATTAGGGATTTCTTTAATATCCTACAAGTTGGATATCCTTAATTATTCAAAGACTGAACACCCATTTTCACAAATGATCTAAACCCTTAGTTTCTTCCATGTTTCTTCTGTGCCGCTTTGGTGTTTTGGCACCTTCACTGTTTATTAGCAGCAAGAATGAGACAATTTAGGTACCAGTTACTAGTTTTATGGAAAAGTGGCACTGGAAATTGAGTTAATATCTTTGTGACTTTCTTTGTTCCCTGTGGTCTTTAATCTAGATGAAGGAACATTTTCTCCCAGGGAAGAAGCTCAGAGGAAAGATATCGGATTTGGGCTCCTTTCTTCTCTTGGTGGTGGTAAACATTTTCCTATGTTCCCCATAAGTCCCACCCCCAGCTGCACGATGAGCAGGCTGATAAGAAACTTACAAAAAGGCTTCTCCCAGAGGGTCAAGTGTATGCAGGAAGTTTCTCTCGTTGTTGTGTAAGCCAAGCACATAGCTGAGGATTCTGAGTCACCAGTCTGGGGAAGAGAAGGGGAGCTTAGGGCAGAAAAGAAAACTTTCTGAACCTGTAGGGTCTTTCTCGGAGTTGCATGATTTCAAGTTTCTAGTGTTCAGTTGGCTTATGTCAGGTTTATGACACTGTTTCTTCTGTTAATTAAATCTCTTTCTATACCATGATGTTTAGATTGCTTTAAGTAGGGAGGCTCAGGCTATTTCAGAAGGATCATTTTCTAAACAGTCAAAAAGTGAGTGTTCCTCGTTCAGTCCTGTCTGACTCTTTGCCAGGAGGAGGCTGAAATCAAGTGAGGTAACGTTAAAAGATAATAATAAAGAAAATAAGGCCTTGAGAGTAAGGATCTTTAAGACAGAGGGTTTGTTTACTTTTTTGCCACTATTCTATGACTAATTAGTATACTTCTTAAAATTTGGAGCATGGCTCAAGTTGGGAAAGAGAGTTGAAATGCTTCTTTTCACAGGAAGCTGGAAGTACTATTCAACAAACAGTTTGCCAGAAAAGGAGTGTTTTTGAGGTGTGTGCTGTGGGGGCTATAAAGGTAAGCCCACCATAGAATTCTAGAGGAATTGGAGGCAGGGTCAGCTGTTTACTATTCCTTCACCTTAACAACTCCTCTTTTCCTCCTGGGTTCACTATGCAGCTTCTTTCCTTGTTAGGATTGAGGATTGGAGGAGAGTTAAGGGGGAGAGGGTGGGAAGAAGCATCTTATTTGACTGCTGACCTCATAATTTCTGTCAAGGCCCTCTGGGTGTTGATGCCTAAATGTTGGTCATAGGGAATTTTTGTAGGTTCCTCAAAGGGCCCCTTAGAGGACTGCATTATTGCTAAGAGCAGATTATGTATCTTGATTATTTAGGTCATCTTACCCTTGCACTCATACTTCTTGGGCAGAGTCCTTTGAAATCAGTCCATCCTAATCTTTCCAGTGTCCATTCTTGCCCATGGGAAACAGCATGTTTGGTGCCCTCTAAATCCTGGAAGCACAAGCTGCTCCTCTCTTCAGGCTCTGCTACCATATAAAGCTCCAGAATGCCTCTAACCTTCAGATATTTCTAGGCTAGAAACTGGGCACCACTCACCAGGTCCTCCAAATCCCTAGGTGACATGTCAAGCTCTCTTGAGAGAATTCTAAAACCCTTCTCACTTAAAAAAGGTGCTCTGCACTCAGTTCCTCTGTGGGAGTTGGGGAGCAGGGGAGAGCCCAGACCAACAAGCAATTCTCAGGATACCAGCTGGGCATCCTATAATTCAGCTCAGTTCTGACACTATCTACCCAGAGATAGCTTTGGCAAGCATGGGTTGAGGGTTCAGCCCTACCAGACTGCCCCCCATTCACCAGTCACAAGTCCAGGTTATTACCTGTACTTCTGACCAAACTGGCTATAAATCAGAGATTATATGCCCTCCTTGAGTTCAGTTAGATTGCTAGACTAGCTCACAGAACTAAGAAAACATTTTACTTACTAGAACACCACGTTATTATAAAGGAATATAGCGTCGGAACAGGCCTGTGGAAGAGAGGCAGAAGGCAAGGTACAGGAGAGGGCACTGAACCTTTCATGCTCTCACCACGTGCGCCACTGTCACCGAATCTCCGCATGTTTGCCAATCCAGGAGTTCTCTGCCCCCTCTTCTTTTGGATTTGGGGGCAGTCTTCATTACATTGGTATGACTAACTAAATCACTGGTCATTGGTGACTGATTCAATCTCCAAGCCCGCTCCCTTCCCTGAAAGTCTAGGGTGGGACTACGTTCCTACCCTCACTTTGCTGGTTCCCCTGGCAACCGGCCCTTACCTTCCAGTGAGGGCTAGAAGTCACCTTATTTACATAACAGGAGACACCTTTGTTGTTCTCCTTGCTTAGGAAATTCCAAGGATTTAAAAACTCTGTGCACCAGGAACCAAGGACAAAGACCAAATATATATTTCTTATTATAAATCACAGTGTCATATTTGACTTGAATGGAAAGGGGAGAAGAGAAAACTATAGCATTAGGCCAACTCTCTCCAAAGAAATCCTCATGGCCGCTCTTCCTCCCCTCCATCAGTCTGACCTTCATATATGTGTGTGTGTGTGTGTGTGTGTGTGTGTGTGTGTGTGTATGTGGATAGATAGATGATGCATATTATTGTATCAGCTTCTCTTTGAAAGTCTGTCGCCTCTGCCCACAGCTCAGCCTACATTCTCTGGCTAGAACTGATCACTCCCTCTTATCTTTTTTGAAGTTTCTTGAACACCTCTTATGATGGTGCCTATCACACTGTAGAAAAGTTCATTTTTTATATGTTTATCTTCCCCACTAGAGTGACTTGAGGACACCATCATTTTGGCATCCCTAATGTGCGCCCTGAAACTCAA